TTTGTGCTAGTTCATGGGCACCTGAGGTTTTGTTCATAAAATCTTTTCCTACACCAATGTCTTCAAGAGTTCTACCTAACCTCTGTTCCAGCTGGTTCAGTGTTTCTATTTTAATATTTAGATCATTAATCCATTTTGATTTTAGCTTAGTGCATGGCGAGAGATATAGGTCTAATTTTAATCTCTGGCAAGTTGAAACCCAATTTTTCCAGTACCATTTATTAAAGAGGCTATCTTTCCTCCAGTGAGGGTGTTTGGCTCCTTTGTCAAAGATGCAGTTGGCCTTCTGTTTTTAAATACTAAATAGAATTTCAGTAATGGATGATCTTTCAGAAGAGATCTTTACCTTCACTGTGTTTATCAAAATCAGGAAGACTAGCTTGTTTTTTTTTTTCAAAAAGCAGGGTAGTGATAGATAGAGAATGTAAATTTCCCTGGCGAGCTTTCACATGGGCATTTCCCTCCCTTATAAAACTTGAGGCTGAAGAACGTCCTGTGCTTTTGGTGTCTGAAATATTAATGAAGTATTTTCCCATGTTACTTGTAAGGTTTCTATCCAGATTTACACAGCATGAATTCTGGTCAGGAATTGTTTATGAGGTTCATTTCAAAGCACATGAAATTTGGTTGCTTCTACAAGGATAAATAATTTAGAGTTGCTTGAATATTTCAGGTCTTCAGTCATATACTGTGCCATACTCAGGGCTGCTGGCAGATAGATACGGCCCCTGCTTTAAACTTGTATAGAATTCCTTGTGGAATCAGGCATGCACAGAAGGAAGTTCTCTTGTATGTGGAGGGAGAGTCCAACTCCAGAATACTCATCAGTGAAGTACACGGAAACCTGAAGCACCCTCATCCCTGCAGCAGCTGCTGTCACTGTTGCATGGGTACGGCCTGTTTCAGACTGCCCAGTGGTTCATCTCCTTTTGTGTCCAATTTGAAATTTAGCTACTTGTTCAGTTGGGGCAGAAAGAAAACAGTGAAACAACCATGGCTAACCAACCACCCAAGGAACAAAACACACCAGTGGGAAACCATACGGACTGCACACTGATACGAGTGGAAGGCCCACTGTCCTCCGGAGAGGCCTGGGACAGCGCTAGCTGAAGCCGGCCTGGTGTGCGCAGTTACGGTTTCCTCTCGCTGTCCTAGAGGTCGGTGCCATGGCCTCCGTCCTCCTCCCGTCTGCCCGCTCGCCCACACCAGGTGGCATGTTGGGGTGCGTTGGCACCGAAGCAGGCCGTGCGCTCTCCACTCACATCTCTGGCGTACCCGTTCAGCAGTTCTCTCGGGGACACAGGACAGAATAGTAGGAGCAGGGGTTCATTTTTCGCCAGGGTCAGGTGACTGAGCCCTCAGGTTGTTGATGGACACAGGATTCAGGCAGAGGCCTGACCGGAAACGCCGCCCCACAGTGGGCTGTCGGGCTGACAGGGTCCTCGCTGTGATGTGCGGGGCGTGAGCGGTGGTCTGCTGTCTGCCTGTCTGGCCCCTGCCTCACCGGGGAGGAAGTCTTTCTGGTGCAGGACAGAAGCAGCTCCTGAGTGCGGGCTGAGGCTTCTCGATTGGTCTCCCATGCCAGCCCCCACGGTCTGCGTGGCTTTGTCCCCGACTCAGATCAGAGCTTGAAACCAACTTACTGGTGGCGGTGGTGAGGCGGGGCCTTGGGGTGGTTAGGTCTTCTCCAGCCTCGCGACGGAGGCTTCAGGACACAAGGAGGAGCCTCAGGGGAGGAAGCGGCCCTCGAGGGACAGCAGACCCATGGGCTTCTGGGCCCTGGACCGCAGCCCCGGAACGTGAGAACACGAGTCCATTGCTCATGATTGCTCTGTCTCCGGCTGTTATGGTGGCCCAGCTCACTGCCGTGCCTAGAAGGGCTGGCGAGGGTCCACACTGGGGAGCTCATTTGCGGCTGATGCTCCACATGGCGTTAGTGAAGCCTGACCACCGGGAGCAGGGACGGACGCCAAGGACTCGCGTCTGCACACATGAGTAACAGGCTCGGTGCCAGCGCGGAGCCCTGGCTGTTGGCTCTGCCAGAGTGAATCTGTCATCCACACAGCCAGTGCTGCCTGGTTTCTTCTGTAAATAGTGTTTTACATTTTGTAACTGTCCTTGGTGTTTCCCAGACATTTCTGGGGCTCCGCGACTCACAGGAAACCCACCCAGACGGCACCCCCGAGGAAGGTCCAGATGTCTGCTGAGCGCCTGCTGAGTGGAGTGGAGGCCCTGAGTGCTTCCACACGAGGGTCGCCGACAGATGGCCCTTGCTCCAAGGAGTGCGCTCGGTGAGGGAAGCAGCTTACACTGAGCTCTCGCTGTGAGGGCATGGGCAGAGTGCAGCAGCCTCCGTCAGGTGCTGTTCCCCAGACAGGATGGAAGCTGTCACGGCTGAAGGACTGCATAGTTAGCAGGCAGCGCTCCCGACACGAAGGAGGTTCCTTCTCCTCCAGGGCTCGGAGTGGGTGGCGAGGCGTCTTGGGGTGGAGGGGACCTCGTGCTGCCTCAGCTATGGATTCCTGGGTGAGGATGCGTTTCTGAAACTGGCTTGGAAACTGGGTGTTTATGCAGATCTCATGCCAGTCTCGAGCAGGGCTGCTGGACACATGTTTTCCTCCCTCGTAGTTCAGTGACCTGCCATACTTTTCTTCTCTTAACAAATAACCCATCGAGTCTGTGAAGTGCTGTGGGTGGAAACATCTAAGGATTGGCTGTTGGAGGAAATTGAATTGCTGCACCAGCAGCACATTGGTAATGGTCATTAACACGAATTGGAGTGCATTTACTAGTCATGTTGCATCTCAATTCTCAGGTCTGTCTGAAATTGATTACATCTCTAATTTAGTTATTTGATAGTTACAGGGACATAAGGAGCATGTGAATTCTTTCTGGGTTTAAGGAAATAACTTGCTACTTTTTATTTGTGTGCTCACTAAACCTTGGCCACCTCAATAGGTGTTGTTAATTATAGAGCAAATAACACGTGCTGCACGTACCAGAATGTTGAGCAGAAGCTTCTGAAGTGTTTACCGAGCTGATCCCACACTGCAGAATGAGGAGGACAGTTTTAAGAGTCTTGACATATTTTTCGAGCTAATTGCATAGCTTTTCCTGAGGGAACCACCACATGCTCTGCCCAGGGTTCAAGACTGTGTTTGGTTCTATTCCTGGAGATATAAACCAAAACAAAATACTGCTGTTGCTTCCCCACCATGTTCTTGTGCTCATTGTCAAGATGCCTGTCCTGTGCCCATGCCCCACGAAGCCCAGGGGTGCTATCTTGCTCCTCACGGCCCGATTCCCCATCACAGTGGTGCCTTTGGCACAGCGTTACTGCCTTGCTCCCAGTCCCCAAGTTAGTGTCTTGTGTCTCAAAGGCTCCAGGCTGCCTCATTGCATTCCATTCTCCACAGGAATTTTAAACAGCTGTCTAGTGAAATGGAGCTAATGACGATGAACGGAACAACATTAAGGAATCTGGAAATCCTACAGAATCAGGTGAGGCAGACACGGCCTCGGTCACTCAACACGGTCTGCAGGAAGGGTGCAGGGCGGGTGACAGTCATGTCTCGCCTGCCTCACTGTGTGCCTCGTGATGACTGAGAGAATCAGTGTGGGAAGTTCTGGGGTTTCTGGACGGAGGACTATAGACTGAGCCCTCTAATAAATGAAGGGTCATTTCTGTATCATAATCTCTGTATCAGTTGTGTGTCAGATATTTTCTTGGAAAAGCATCATCTCTGAGGATTAATAGGAAATGTATTTTTTGTCTGGTTGCTTTGTTTTTGTCTTTGTGTGGAAATGTCGGTAGTCTGTTCTATTGCTAGGCATGTAAAACAAGTCTGGGCCAGTTTGCCGGTAACCTCTCACTTCCCAAACTTTTCCTTGCTCTGTATTGAGAGCTGGGAGGATAAACAAAGTTTCCATTACGGAATTATCACTGAAAGGTGAGATGTTACTTGTAACAAAGTCACAAGGGAATAAAAGCCAGTTCCAAATAGAACCTGAGATCCAAGGCATCTGAGTAGTAGTGGAGAATCCCAGCCATGGAGTGAAACCCACAACCCTTCCCGGAGATAGTTAGTACTGTTGCCCATTAACCATGGGCTCTTCTGTCCTGGCCCTGGGGCATCAGTACTGGAGTACCCTCAGGAGCCTCTTCCTTCTGCCGTCCACCCCGTGTGCTTGGCCTGACTCATGTCTGCGTAGGAACATTTCTACCTGTTCTTGCATCACCCAGAGGTCTCTGGTCAGCTGTGCCTGCAGGCCCACACTGGGGACAGTGGCAGTGATAGAAGGAGAGTCTTTCCTGGAATAACCCCCTTCCCCCAGGGTCTGCAGGGGGTACCCCCAGTACCTCAAGCTTTCCTTGACACATCTTCCCTATTTAAATCCTGCTGCATGCAGTTTTGAAATCCAGTTCTTCCTTTTTTTTTGGTACCATGGATCGAACTCGGCTCCTTCCACTTGTGAGGCAGGTGGCAGAACCACTGAGCTAAATCCCCAGCTCAAAGAATCTAGAGCCTGAAAGTATAGACCACCAGACTCTTTTTTTTTTGGTACTGGGGATCGAACTCTTCCAGACCTTGTACTTGCAAGGCAGGTGGTAGAACCACTGTGCTAAATCCCCGGCCCTCCAGTTCCTCCTTTTTGCTTTTTATTTTTTGAGACAGTCTCACTGTGTAGCTCAGGCTGGCCTTGAATTTACTGTCTAGCCCACTGGGGCCTTAGCCTCCTGAGTGATGATAGGATTATAGGTGTGTGCCATAGGTGTGTGCCAGCACGCCCAGCTTGTAAAATCCAATTTCTAAGGCAAAAGTTGCCTATAAACAAAATATCCTGTAGTGTCCCTCTGTTATCAGGATTTGAGCTCTTGTAGAGACAGAAGCTGGGAATTAGCCTTCTGAACTTGTCTTAGCTGAGCTTGGGCCTGTTTCCATGGAGGCTCTGAGTCATTTATTCATAGTTAACCAGAAGCAACACAGATTAGTCCTTTTCTTTGTAAAAATATCTTTACTTTGTCTTGTGTGAATGTGCGTGTGTACATTTGTGTCTTCATTCATCAAACATCAAATGGACAGTGTGGGAAACGTTAGCTCAGGCTGAGTGGAATAAGTGGGGCTCCTGACCAGCTCAGGACGTGGTGTGGATGCTCGTGCCCAGTGTGATAAAACCTGTTCTCTGGAGTTGTTTCTGCATCTTCCAAATGCCCATCAACTGAGACTGGATAAAGAAGATATGTTTGTTTGGTTTTTTAAAAATAAAATAAAGGACTACTCAGCCATAAGCAATGAGAAACTAGAGACGTTTATAGCTAAATGCATGCACCTTGAGGCCATACCCTTAAGTGAAATAAATAGGACACATGTGTGTAACTACTGAATAGTTTCTCTGGTGTGAGAAACTGAAAGTGTAAACAAGGATCACAATGTATAATAGATAATGTGAAATGGGAAGAAAAGGTCCAAAGGGGAAGGGAAGTGGAAAGGTAGGAGAAAGGAAAGAAGGGAACAGAATTAATATGAGAAAAGGGAAAAACGGAAACAAAGTCTTTGTCAATAGGGAGGGGTGGAGGGGTTGAAGGAAGGGTAGGGGGATGGGGAAAATCTCAGAACCAAGATACATCATGTACAGGTCCAAAGGGGAAGGGAAGTGGAAAGGTAGGAGAAAGGAAAGAAGGGAAAAGAATTAATATGAGAAAAGGGAAAAACGGAAACAAAGTCTTTGTCAATAGGGAGGGGTGGAGGGGGTGAAGGGAGGGCAGGGGAAGGGGGGAAAGATAAGAACCAAGATACATCATGTAAAGGTACAATTCACAATGAGAAATGTCACCCTGTTGTATACGTCAATGTGCCAATAAATGAAACCAAACCGACACCTGTTTCCTGGCCTTCACAGACTGACGGGAAGAGCAAGGGAAGTTTGCTGTGGGTGTTAGACCACACGCACACAGCGTTTGGGAGGCGGCTGCTGAGGAAGTGGGTGACCCATCCGCTCCTCAGATTAAGGTAAAGCACTTCTTTTATGTGTTTCCCCCGAAGTTATAAAACTTTGAAGGTGAAGGTGTGTCGAGCATCCTTGAGACCAACTTTAACAGTTTGCAGTGGGTCCCGTCCAGTTCCTGTGGGCCTCATGGTGGGAGGACATGGGGAGGGGCGCAGAGCTGTGCCTGCCTGTCCTGGGCTCCACAGGAAGCAGTGGGGCGCAGCCCAGGGAGCTGATGCCTCAGGGCGAAGTGGGCACGTGGTGAAGCTCGGGAGAGGGAGGGCCTGCGCTGTAGCAGGGGTAGTTTTGCTGCTGCCGCCAGGCGGGGTTGGGGGGGTGGGGGGGGCAGCTTCGCACAACGAAGCAGGGCTGGGCTCCTCAGGACAGTGCCGGGGACATCCGGGCTGCAGGCGTCATGCTGTGGCGTCCCCACAAGCCCGGGGTGCTGCCTGGCTCCAGGGCCGAGTCTCGCTGGTCTCCCCATAGCGGGGCAGCTGGAGTCTGTGTCCTTGGTGACTGTGGCGCTGCGGCCTCCGAGCTGAACGGTGCCCTGCAGCTGCTTGCAAGAACCTGGTCTGGCTCCCGCTGATCCTTGAGCACCTGCTAGGTGCACCTTATTGAGTGCTCAGCTTCCAGAGAGCACAGGAGTTGCTTCAGTATCTTGCTGCAGACTGAAGCCAGTGGCCACTCCTGAGCTCAGGGGGCTCAGGCCGGAGTTCCTAGCCCTCAGCTGGACCAGTGCAGGCACTGGTGAAGAGCACTGTGAAAATGAGCACTACCACTGCTCGGGCCCCGCTGAGCCCCCCTGCTCTCATGCTCCAAATGTAGAGTCCTGCTCACAGGGGGTGAGGGGTGCGTCGGGACTGGAACGCTGGCTGCCTTTCCTGAGCTGCCTGGATCAGCGTTTTCCATAGGTACCGCTGTGGGCTGCGTATATACTGCATATATCCTTGAGGTGCACGACCCTGACCACCTGACTGAGGCCATGGCAAGGATAAGAGACAAAGGTTCGCGTACACAGGGGCCTGGATGGCCAGAGCTCTTCAGGCTAAGACCCCAGGCTCCAGACTTGCCACTGTTTACGGATCACACAGCATTGCAGGGTGTAAAGGCAGATGCAGGAGACAGCGGGGCTGAGATGCTGACAGGAGCCAGGCTTGTGCAAGGAGGAGCACTGCATTCCTGCAGAAGTCAGATCGATTAAGGAGTGACCTGCTTGTTTGCTTAGCTAACGTTGGCTCTGGGAGAACAGCTGCACAAGAGTCACAGAGTCCTCAGCTGCCTTGTCACCTTGCTGTCAGAGATGTCACAGCGACACTGACCATTGAGGCCTCCACTGTGACCTTTGGCACAGGGAGCTGTTTCCACACGCCGGCCGAAGGCTCGTCCAGCAAGTCACATAGGCCTAGGACAGCCTCACAGTTTAACCCATGGCCAATTCACTAGCCAATTTCCTATTTTTAGCCTGCCCAGTGCAGGTGCAAGCCGATCTCCTGTGTCCCACATACACTTTGCTGATTTTGTCAGAAGCCCTAAAACACGCATTCTGCTTATAAACAGTGATGGGTGGGGAGCGGGATGAGAGCTCAGGCTCCTGTGGGATGTACGAAACGAGTCTCTTAGGTTACGTCCAAAGCACATTAGCCAATTTGCAAGGCAGGCGTAATTTACTTCCGACATTTGTGCCTTCGATTCTCTTTCTAAAGTAGACATTTCTACTCAGTTTCCCCTCCCTGTTTCCTGCCTGCTCCTTCAGTCTCCCTCTCAAAGAGCACTGTGTGTACCCTTCGTGAGCACTGAGAGTAAGAGTGCCCGGGACCCGCCACTCAGGAGATGTGCTGCCCTGCCAGGTGTCTCTGTTAGAGACGCCGGGACGGTTGGGGGCCTGGACCAAGGATGGCAGGCGGGCAGTGCCTCTCTCACCGTGCTGCGTTTTTCATCTGTGATATCCATTAGTTTCTCAGCTGCCTTCAGAGATAGTGGTTTTATGGATGAGAAGGATGGAGATTCAGGCTAATTATGCAGGATCAGCCAGCCAAGTGTGTAGGGGCCATTCAGAAGCAGTTTGAGAGTTAATGAGATGCTAGCTGGAGTTCTGCTGTTCCCACTCACATGGACAGCTCGCGGCCTTTCTGTTCCTCTATTTGTTCATCTGTAAAATGGGGATGGCATCGCCTCTCTCGTGGTGGTGTGACCACAATGAGGCAGTGTATATAAAGCATTAGTATGGTTCCTGGTATCAGTAGTAGGCCCCAGAAGAGAGCTGCAATCTTCATAATGCTAGAAACTTGGAATCAACAGAGTTACTAAGTGGAATGGAAAGTAACTGGCCTCATACATGTTGTCACATTACAGCAATGAAATGAACAGCCTATGTCGACATACTTCAGCACGGGGCGGTCCCAAAGCATCACAGCAGTACGCAAGTGCGGCCATATATCGAAACTTTGTCCTGTCCTTTTCTGTTTGGGGGTGCAGCCAGCTGTGGTAGAAATACAAAGACAGGAAGTAGAAAGGGTATTTCCCGGCGATGGGGCAGGGGGATCCCCTGGGAAGGGGAAACAGGAGGGGTATGGCCGGGTGGGTCTCACACCGCACTCTGCTCCCCAGACGTGGCTGTGGGCGACTGCCGTGGACGGCCCACGGGGAGTGCGTGTGCAGGGAGTGCGCGTGCGCATACCTGGAGCTGTGGGCCCATCCGGGTGTGAATTCAGAAGTACAGTGCAGCCCGGTGCTCCTAGGGCCGTGATGGACCAACAGCAGCAGGATCTTAAATCAAGCACAAGACAAGGGGTGTGGTCACGAGGTGTTCATGGGTGATCCACACCTGCCATGAGTGTTTAAATTGCGGAATCACCACAGTAAACGACACACTGCCACGAGTCCCCCGGAGTGCTCCTCACCTACAGCACCCTCGTCCCATCCCACCATTGTCGCCGTCCTCCGAACTGGCTCTCTGGAGTGTCGTATGAGGTGGGATCATAGGGAGCGAGGCCGCCAAGCGCCACCAGCACCCAGGCGGCTTGTGAAAACACCAGGCTGTCCTGGCGCCATGTGGCTTCAGGTCTGCCCCAAAGTCAGAATGACCCGGAAAGGGAGACCTCGGGCAGCCACACAGCGCAGCCAAGGACACTCAGGAGAGAGGGCGCCCGGGATGGGTTCAGACAGCGGCAGAGACGATGGGTGAGTGCGTTCAGAGTGAGAGGGTGTTCTGAGGGGACGCACGGCGGTGTGTCTTTCACTGTAACACGTGGTTCTCAAAGCTTAAGCACTGTGTTTCGGCCACACTGTATAATGGGGCTTCATGCTGTTCTTTAGCAATCTTTGCTTTTTATTAAGCAGGAGGCCACTCTAAAATAATGATTAAATGATGATATAAAACTGTCGTAGCATCTGTGCAGTATCCTGTATTGGGTGCTGCTCGTAATCATATGCATCTACTGTACACATCTGCAACGTAGTGGGTTTCTTTAAGCAGCAGCACCACCACACACACACACACACACACACACACACACACACACACACACACACACACACACACACACACACACACACACACACACACACACACAAGCGGGGTTAGGTGGCTGTTTGTGGTGGCCCCAGGTGAGAGGACCACATCGCCTGTGCGGTTTGTTGGTAGATGACTGTGCGTATGTGCGGTTCTGTTTCAGCAGCTCTGCAGGAAGCACACACTTAGTGTGTGGATGTTCTGAACACTGCTGCCCCTGCCCTGCACCACCCCCGCAGTCAGGCGGAAGTGAGGTCAAGGCTGTGCCCTCCGTGTGAGAACCTTGCTGGGTCCGTGAGCAGGTTTAGGGGGTGGGGATATGGGAAGGGGCAACGGGAAGCCGATCCAGGGCGCTCAGGCTGCAGCCATCTGGTCCACCGGGCCATTCTCCTCCCCCTGGGTCCTATCCGTGTGGTCTGAGGCTGCCGTTGGAGTGTGAGGCACATTGGTGCAGGCTGCGGTGACCAGGCCGCTCCTGTGGCCCCTCGCAGCATGACGGAGCTGTGACCACCAGTTGCCGTCCCTATGGCTGGGCACGGAGTGCTGCCTTCTCCTCTACTCGGTGCCCACTCTTGACTCAGGCCTGGAACTCAGGGAGCTCAGCCTCCCGGTGTCCTTAGCGACCACGCCCGTGCCCGTGCTGTGCTCAGCACTGCAGCAGCACAGGGTTGGGGCCGACTGCTGCAGACAGCCCCACAGGCGAACCGCTCTCCCTTGCAGCAAGCTTGCATGCTGGCTTGCTTTCTTCCTCCTTCTTCCTCCTTTCTTCTGCACGCATCTCCGGGCCTCCCAGATTGGCAGTGGGGGGAATCTGACATGCCGGCATTTAGGAACCCCCGAGCCCGTGGCTCCCAGGGCCGTCTGCACTGTCCCCAGCCGCCGGGACAAGCAGCTGCGTGCTTCTTCGCTCTGTGGCCTGGGTCTGCAGCTCTGTCCCTGCGCTTACATGGCACCGCTGGAGCCGTTTCAGTGTCACGTTCCACACTCGCTCCCTGTGGCCGTGGGCGTCCACTGTCTCCTCAGGGAGCAGCAAGGAAGGGCTAGTGAATGCTCAGCAGTCTGTTGGGAGAGATGGCTCTTTCCTCTACTTCTTTGTTGCTATTTCAACCCCATAGTGTTTTTAGGCATTTAAATGATACATTCATGTACATTTTTAGAAAACTGTGAAAGTCTGAAGTTGCCCCGTAACAAGGTTGCCCCTCACAGCTGCTGCACGCTTGTCAAGGCCCTGGGAAGCCCGGTAACCCATCATCGCCTCGCCACGGATACATGTGCACTAACGCCGTCTGTCCCCCGGTTGCCCGGGCTGGGACAGACTGCCCCTCCTCAGCAGGGTCACGTGGCACCTGTCACGTGACTGGGCGGCCCTGAGCCGGGACTAGGAAGACCTCGCCTAGGAGGGGAACTTGTGGGAGGTGGCCGCTTCTGTACCTAACACTCACCTGTACACACTGCACAATGTTGTACCACAATTAGAGGAAAGGGAGAATGTTTTTCTTTTTTTGGTAC